TCGATAGTTCCGTGGCTTGGCACTAGTGCTGACCCAGGGAATACGGCGATATCTACTTTTATCTGCTCTAGATGCATCCAGGCACCCTACGACTGCAGCTCGATAAGGCGTGGCTTATTTTTTTTTCTTTCGTCGAGAAACGAGAAGAGTGAAAAGAGATTAGAGACAACACCAGGAACCAACCGATACCACAAGACTGTCGTGGGGCCCGACGGGTCTTGGAATAGTGTAATCAGGAGCTGTCGACGCCACACAGTCTGGCCTCTTCCTCTGATATTGCTGCATTTTCTGCAATGGGTAGGTTACGCTTTTCTTACCTTTTTCGTAAGACAGCCACCTGCGGCCAGACGAATCTGTCACTAGCTTTAGTCGACCAGTTCTGCCATCCCGATGATCTTCCGGTGCTCGTGGCTGAAGTCACATCCCTCACGCAAGCTGATCGACAGGTTTGTTGTCCGAAGCTGCAAAATCAATGAGATGATGGGGGGGTCGTTCATGTGTGAAAAGAGAGAATCTAAGTTGCTAGGCGTTGAGACTATCCAACTTCCTTCCTGGTGATTGCATAATTGGCCCACTCCTTCACAACTTGAGTATGTGTAAGTCTACGGGTCCGAGGCTCATTGCGCTGCCATTTGGACAGCGCCTCCAGCTTGGATCAAGATGACGCCTCGCTTATTTGTCCTGATAGAAGGGGTTCTCCCTATAAGAAAGGGGCTGAAGTAAGCCCGAATTAGGGTAACGGGGTACAGACAGAACAAGGTAGCTTCTTGAGCTGGGAACGTAAAATGTTCACCGAGAGGGGCCTCCTCAAATAGCTCTAATTTCATTGCTCTGTTAACAATTATAAGATAAACAAACTTACCAATAATATTTCGTTAATAACTACCCTATGTCTACTGGCAGTGACACCATGGGCATAGTATACGGTTTTCTCTTATTTACGACGTATCTCAGTGCAATGGAAATATAACTTCGCTATGATTTTTATCAAGTCTTACTTAGCTTGCGAAAGTAGCAAGCTTAGTCTTCGGGGTGTTTATTAACCTCTATTTGCTAGGCATGGTTCATTCTCTCCAGATCGAGCCCTGTCATGCGCTTGACGTGAATGTGGACAATTTGCGGAGTAGCCGCTTTCCTGACACTTATGTTGGGAACAAACCATCCACAGTACTTTAGATGCTCGGCGGGTCTATCTTCCCGGGGATAAATGAGGTCAGGACTGAGAAGGCCTGGAATGGACTTTAGTATCTTCGTGAGTCTTTTTCTCGCATCATCTGGAACATGGTGTTTGTCGCGTAGGTGGGTTGTGACATAGGCGTTAGCAATCGAGACAGCAGGTTGGCATTGCTTGCAGATGAGTGCATCTGCATCGTAATCAATAAAGACTTGAAGATTGCTTTATAATTCCATAGCCGCAAATTTCAGCAGGGCGGGATGAATAATTGACGCAGTAAACCCGATAGTCTCTGAGTGAGCCTAGAGGTTTCGGATGAGGTGAGACCACCCCAGAGGTTTGCCTCAATGACTTGTTACGATTGAGCCTCTGACTAGGCTAGAGGCGGTGGGGCATTCATAACCCAACCAGCGTGCACGGATAAAAGGTATGTAATTTCATGAAAGTAATGACGACAGGGGGTTGGGGCACGGTCTTTAGTAAATTACAGCGGACGCGCTGTTGCGATCAGAGCCCCACTGAGAATGATCTACATGGTAATCCACAATGCCAAGATCCATAAGGCTGCAAGGACGGAAAAAGGGCATTTGGTCAGATCAACGCTCGGGCCTCCTTCGAACATTCGACAGTTGGGAACAAGTCCTGCAACCTTACAGCTAGCCACCTCAGCTCGACTACGTTGGTTGAGAAAATAGCGCATTCCCGCCACCATACACGAAGCAACTCGTCGATATTCATAATGAGGCGAGACAGGAAGCTCCATTACAGATACTACCTGCAATGCAGCAGGAGGCTTTTTTCTTTGCGGGCAAATCCCTAATACAGGTACCTTCGCAGAGCCGGCCGATCTGCCTAACAACAACTTGATGCTAATATGGTTTGCGGGATAAAGCATATCACCTCACAATTGAGGCAACATACGACAGCCAACAATTACCCATTCGGTTCCCCTCACCGCCATACCACAATTGTCCTCTCGCATCACTAAGTGACACGCCGATCCGCTTTTGAGTTGCTCGCGTGCACTTATCAGTCTGTCACAAGTGCCGCTGAACGCCCGATGGACCTGTTGCTTCCATCACTGCGTGGGTCAGTTGCCCGCCATCAAGCCCTGTGTGGTCAGTCTATGCTGAGGGGCTAAATAACACTGGAGCAATGCTACAAATGTGAGCGAGATGATCTAAACCAAGGCCATTTTTAGCTTCTGTCTTTTATAGAGAGGCAACAGGCATCTAGGCCGGGTTGAATTTGATCATCTCTTTGTATATAAGGTCATCATGCAGTATGTTCTCTTCCATTTTAAAATTGAGCCGATCAAGCCGCTTCCTACTTGTTTGCAGCGACAGGGAATTAGTATACTAAACCATACCATGCAAGCGAGGGATGACGCACAGGCCGAGTAATTTTTGTGTTTGGACCAAGAACCTAAGATCAAAGGAATGCCGATTGGCGCAAATTCTTTAAATCAACTCTAACCCCCCGTAAAGTGGGGCAGAGAAATCAACTCTACTACAATTGATATTGTCACTAGCTACTAGGCCCTATATGAGTTAGCGGTGATACGCTTCTAAAAACGGATGGATCTTGACCACAAAATTCATGATTGGCTGAGTGACGGCCCCACCTATCCAAAAACGGCCACATCTTGACTGCTAAACTCTGATTGGTTGCAAAGCTTGGGGCTGGCGAAGAGTTCAGAAACTTCCAAGACGAATATACCAACAACAAGCTAGAAGGTCCTATAAAAATCGCCTAGCATTGACTCTTGGATCGGCAGTATATGACCCCCTTCTGACGACCCGTCATGTCTTGATCTAGCTGCTTGATTACCTCAACCGTACGATCCTCGACAGCATCGCGCCCGGGCTTGACCTGCTGAACCTCGTAGCGGCAGTTCAGCTTGACCGTCCGATCCCGCACCATGATTGCCGACTTTGCCAGCATCTCGCCGCGGAACTAATCCTCTAGCACAACGGGCAGCGTTGCCGTGAGCAGCACCAACGGGCAGCCAAACCGGCGTAACCCTACGAGCTCGCCAAGCTTAGCCCGGTAGCCAATATCCATAATCACGGTATGATATTTGTCTACGAATATCTGCTGCAGCAGCCCTGTGTATGATAGCCCGTCAACGTATCCGCAAAACTCGGCGCTCGATACGATATCGGCACTGACGACGATTAACCGTGCTGCCCTCGGCATGCCCTCTCGTCCTGAATTCATCGATGACCTGTATCGGATGCAGTCGACCCCCATATCTGTTGCTCTTATCACCAAGTCATCCATCAGTGCAATAAACGGCACGACCATGATGCTTATGCCTGTATCCTGTATTACGGCCGGCAGTATGAATAATATGCTCTTGCCGGCCCCTGTTGGCAGCATGTTAATTGCCGTCTAATCTGCTTTGAGCATTATAATCGATCGCATGCTCTCAGCTTGCTTATCGGATCGCTAAGTCGCCTTTGGCCTAAGCAGCTTTTGCAGCCTGTCCCTTATCTTATCCTCTAGCTTCTTCTTTTTCTTCTCCTCCTTCTCCTCTCTCGTCTCCTTTATCTCCTTCCTCTTCTAAGCCGGTTCCTCCTCTTAAGTAATCTTTCTTTGCTTGCTGCTCCTAGTCATCTGGGTCGGACTATCGATTAACTGCTGCTGCTTGTTGGTCTTCTGACTATCCTGCTTATGTTTCGGTGCCTTTGCCTCCTTCCCTTCTTCTGCACTACTGCTTTCCTCTAAAAACTGATGCCACAGCTTGCTGATCTCCTTGAATATCGCAATCATCTCCGGCTGCAGCTTGCCCGGGAAGCCGATGTGTATGGCATAGTGCTGCCTTGCAATGCGTGTTCTGTGCATTGACTGCAAGTCCTACACGATATTCCAGCTTCCTCTATAGTCAACCGGCTCACCTGTGATCTGGTCGATCTCGATATTATCCTCATCTTTATTATCTATCTTACCTTCTAGCTGCTTTATCACAAGCCCTCGGATCCTCCGTCCCATTTCGATCGCGATCGCCCAGTATCATCCTACCCCTAATCTGACCCCTGTTCCGGCCTGCGTCACGCGGCCAAGCTGCCTGCTGAGCCGGTCGGTCTCCTATACCGACGAGCAGCCATCCCTCCACATATACTCTAGCTGCTCTCCACGCGGCTCGGCAAGTTGACACTCTCGTCGCAGCACCCTCTCCGTCGGAAGCAGCCATGCGATATATGCCACAATCATCCGCCCAATCCGGTCGGGGACAAATCGTGCTACCTTTCGCCCGTTATCGCGGATTGCCTTCATCTTATCTCGGTCAGTTACGATCATGACTTGCCCGTCTACTATGAATATGTTCCGCATCAGCTGCCACGAGTCGCAGTGCCACAGCGTTGTAATTTCGGGCCCCCTTCCTGGAAGCCCACCCCACGTATGCATAAGCACGAGCAGCGTCTCTTGCAGCAGCTTCAAGTCACGAAGCCACCTCTTAACACGCTGTCGCTTCCATCGGACCCTCGTAGCATCCCATATCGATGCTTCCATCAGCCGTATCACCTTTGCCGGTCCGGCCTCTAGCCACTTATTCTTCGGATTGCTTATAAATGACTGACCTGCCCCGAGCCGTATCATGTTATCCACGATTCGCCCCATATTGATCTTCTTGCTGACCGGGTGCCAAAACCCTCCGAATAGCTTATCTAGCAGCTTCTCTGCCTTAACAACCTCGTCGCATAGTGTGCGGGTGAAATCTTTGACGTCGATATACTCGCCCATATGAAATAAGCCCTCTCCATCCTCGGACCACCGTATTGACGGCTGACCCCCCATCTTCTGCCGATACCCTTTTCCATATGCCATCCACCCGATGATTATGCTCATGACAGTGTGAGTGCCCATACACATCCACGCTCTATGCTGCTCTTCGAATGCAAGTACGGCCTCAACCCCGACCTCATCCCGATCGAGCGGCTGATTCTCAAATACAGCCTCTAAAAAGAACAGCCGGGCCCACCACACCATAGCAGCTAGCAGACCGGTATATAAGTGCGGCTCTATGTAGCCCATCGGGCGTGGCTTAATACCAAGTGCTGCACAGAAGCATAGTAGCGAATTTATATATACATTTCCACCGACGTGAGTTTTGATCGAAGCCACGATAAATCGGAAGACGGCTCGGTCTAGTGCATCCTGTAGCGGGCTAGTCATACCGTTATTTTCCTGCTCGCCGTCATCCTGATATTTGTCCTCGTCCTCATCCCCATCTTCGTCTTCTTCCTCTTCTTCCTCTTCTTCCTCTTCTTCCTCTTCTTCCTCCTCTTTATCCTTAGCTTGTCTCTCTCTGCCGCTGAAGAATCCACTGTCGTGACTGCTTGGGGCCCTATCACTCTCGAGCTCTTCAGCAATATCCCCCAATAAGCTCCACTGCTCGTCCATAAAGCAAATAGCCCAGCGTTCGAATGCTTCCTTCCGGCCAATGCAATATGCCTTCCAGCAGAAGCTTAAGTAGCAGTGACCGACAGACTTATACTAGTTTATCGATTCTTCCTTGCCTTTACAACCAAACGGCACGCCGCTCAGAGTTACTGATAAAATGCTATTAAGCCACTGCAACGTCTCGGTCAGGATGCTATCAAGTCGCCAGCAGCAACGTTCCACCTCACGATCAAAGCTCTCTCCAAGCCGCCTAAGTAACAGTCGTTCACGAGCTGCCTCCTCATCTTCTTGCCTTCCAGCTAATCTGCCTATTACTTCCCTTGCTCGTAGCTACTAGGCTGCGTCGTAAATATTAATCAAGTCCCGGGAGCCAAAGTGTTATACCTAGCCTAGCCTCTTGACCTACGGCGAGTCACGGTTAATATCTTCCTTCAAGTTACCCTTTCGTAGTCATATGGCATCTTCCTGTTCTAATCAAGCCTGACTTACAGCAATAAGCTTATCCATAGCGCTCTGACTTATATTATCAGCTATATCAGCTGTATTAGACGGCCTATTGTTATCGCTGTCGTCTTAAATAATCTAGTAGTATATATGTTTTCCTCCTATCTATATCTATAGCCGTACCTTAGTCTATTATGCCTCTTCTACTACTGCTGCTGCTACTGCTATACTATGCCCTGCCTCTTGCTAATAATAGATGGCATTATCTTTTACAGTAGTAAGAGATTAGCATATATTACAGCTATAGCCCTTTAAGATAGTAAGATATTAAATTACCTGACTGTTATCCTCAGGGGTTGCAGTAAGCTTTAGGTCAGCTAGCTTAAGCATGCCATAGTAGTTTTTAATATCCTTAAGCACTTGGCCCTTAAGCTAATGCTGCCATCGAAAATATAACTCAATGCTACTGCCAGGTTAAACGGCTGCCTAACATAGCCAGCAGATCAATATGTAATAGTCCTAATTAAGCTATATAATATCCTCTATTACTGCTTAATATTACCCCTTATATCTTAATATTAAAAAGTAAAAAGAAAAGCAGTCTTATTATTTTTCTCTATTAATTAAAGTCCCCTTTCCTCTACGTCGCACTAACCCTAAGCTGCTGCTAGCTAACCCTAAGTATAGGGTTGGGGTTATTTTAAACCAATTAGCAACTCGATCTAACGTTACTTGATTTAAGTCTAAGTTTTAAGCGAAATTGTCCGTTTTAGTAGATAATATCCGGCTAATTGCGTCTTAATAATTCCTAGGGTTTCCCCGCATTACCATTGGCCTATGCCATTTTCAGAGGTTGGCAGTTTGGCCCAAACTACTAACGGCCTATTAGTTAGGGATTTTTCTCTTATTTCCTTACTTTCCCTATTTTTATATTTAGAAATTATCTCCTCCTTTAACCCTTACCTTTAACTCTAACTATATTCCTATATCTATATTATACCTAGCCTAAGTATAAGACTCTAATATTCTTATTAATCTGCAGTTATCTTACTAACCTAATTATTATAGATATTAGAGAAAAACCTATTAATCCCTTTATTTTAACCTCTAATAAGCCCCCTAATTAGCTAACTATAATTAACCCTGCTATAATAATATTATTTATCCTAGGGCGTTATCTCTTTTTTAATTACCTGCTTTACCTATAACGTGGTTAATAAGCAAATGCTCCAGACAAGCAAGTACTCCACTACCCTATACACCTTAAAATCCGGTTTTTAAAAGCTTCTAAAAAGCTTAAATTAAGTTTAAAATAGCTATAATTTTAATAGCTTATATATAAGTTTTAAAATAAGCTATCTTAATTTTTCTATATTTTTAAAAAAAATCCTACATAGTTAGTATATGAAAAGTATATTTACACTGTGTATTTAGGCTTTTCTATATAAAATAAAATAGCTAAAAATCTTTAAAAAATATAATTTAATAAGGCTAGCTATACTATTATAAGAAATACTTTTATTAGATTTTTAGCTATTTTATTTATAGCTTAAAAGTGCTATAGGGTAGGCTAGTTTTAGTTATATAGTGCAGTGGAGCACTTGCTTATCTGGAGTATTTGCTTATTAACCACGTTAATAAATATTTCCTTTATTATAAAATAACTATATCTATTAGATTAAATATTATATACTTAATCTATACCTATTTAATATATCTTTATTTAGAGATACTTATATTACCTGCTATAATAATATAACTTCTTCCTCTATAGCTTTTAACTAAAATCTAATAGCTAGATATACCTAACCTATTATATATAAGGGCATAAAGCTCCCCTTATAGTCTAAACTTATATATAGAGAGTATAATAAGCTATTATTTATTTATCCCTTTAAGGGAATTAATAATAATATTAGTTAAGTTATAAATAAATAGCCTGTATTTACTTATCTATAGACTAATTAGTCCTATTATAATAAAGACTATCTAATTAGATTATTTAGTAAAAATAAGAAGTATAAGCTAAACTAAAAACTAAAAGATATTAAGTATTCTTATTATAATTCTTTTATCTCCCCTATTAGCTAGACTCTATATATTATAAATATATAAACTATCTTTAATTATATTATACTTAAGAACTACCTTTATAGTAATAATATTATTACACTTTTATATATAGCTATATATAGCCTTAAGAATATTATTATAATAACATTATATTAACTTAAGATTCTAAGTAGTTTAATTAAGGTTAATAATAAATAAGGAGCCTAGTAAATGCCTTTTCTTTCTAATACCTATTAGAAGGTTAACTGCAGGGCCTATCTTAGCTTTACTAGCTCTTTATAGGCCTAAAGGCAGTTATATAGAATCTAATTCCTAATTAGCTATATTTAATATAAAGATTATATATATTAGACCTCTTTTATTTAAGATAATAAGATAGGAAAGTTTTATTACTTTAATTCTTATCTATTTAATTAGAAGGTTTGCCTTTTTAATATAATCTTAGGCTTTTAGGAATTCCTTATAAGTATTAGACTTCCCTTTACTTTTACCTACTATTAGATACTAATCTTAGGATAGCCTTTTAAATAAGAATATAAGTTAATTACTATATATTATATTATTAAAATAATTTATAATCTTATTAATATAAACTATATTAACGCAGTAATAATCTATAAAAAGATAAGTCTCCTACTTAATAATATCCTATATAAAGATATAAAACTATTTAATCTTCTACTCTTGGATTAGGTTCTTAGCCTAAATAACCCTAATATAACTAATTAAACTAAGATTTTATACAGCCTGGCGTTTATTAAGGCATTCTTCTAGCAGTTAATCTTAATAAAACTTAGTATTATAAATAGCTAATATATCTAATACTTTAATAATAAGACCTCTAGATTAATATAGATTTAAAATTATAACCTTATCTCCTTTTACTGCATAGATATAATACCTAATTTAATTAAGATTGGTAAATTATATATTAATAAAAGTAATTATCTCCTAATTTAATTATCCTAGGTTATTTATATTCCTAGGTATACCTATGTTACGACCCTAGCGGTTACGTCACGTGTACCCCACAAAAACTCATGCAAGGCATCAACCCC